GCTTCTCATATTTTGCATATTTTATTTTTATGTCCGAATGAAATTGTTTTAAAACACGTTTCTGAACTCCAGTATTCATGATCATTTATCGACTAAGTCATCGCTTTCGTAGAGCTTGTAATTTCCGAATGCATTCTAGGTGATCCTGTGCTAATGATTGTTTTCAGCTCAGAGTAATACTCATTATTATAGAGTATCCGAAGCTCGATACAGCTTGATGACGACAAGAAAACAAGAAGCTAGCTATTTGAGCTTAGCATAGAAGTATAGATTTGACATTTATCTATCTAATGGGAATATCAAAATCAAAAATTGATTTTAGTGGCATGCCGTTTTCCTGGGTTCTAAGATAAGATTCCCCAAAATGACAGTGTTCAAAATGACTTTGTCTGATACAATATTTTTCAAAAAAACATCCCAGAGTCTCCTCTTTCTATTGCTGAAAACCGCAAATCACTAGCTATTGCGGTTGTCGAGTTATTGCATTTACACTCACCCTTCTCTCATTCTGGCGCGGACATTAGTTGCTATGATCTGTAATGAGGGGAGTCGAAAACCTTCGACTTAAAACTTACACTCAAAATTTTTTTCGTAAATATATGTCAGTTTCCCAAAAACTAATATTTCTATTCAAACATATTTAAAATACAATAACGCATTTAATTTAAATGGTAATAAATAATTCTTGCTGGTAAGCAGGTTTAAGATAAGCTTTTTGCTTACAAAGACTTTATATATTTTACTTTGTTGCGATACTGTATAAAACAGAATAGTTGACTTCATTTTTCTTATTCGATTGAAAAGGTTAGATTGTTGTGTCTTTTAGTTTTTGTACAACTTATTTTGGTTTTTGTATGTAAAAGCGAGAAGCTATAGTTGATTCAATGAAAAATTGTTTATTTAGCTTCTTTCTAAACATAAAATAAAAAGCGCAAAAATTTCAAAAACACCTTGAGTCGACTCGAAGAAATCGTTTGACTTGCTCATCACTGTTCTAGTGTTTTTCGTTTATTTAATATTAATTTTCGAATCTTATTTTGTTGTTGTAAAATATTTCATTGATGAAATCAGTATGTGCAGTAAATTAAAAACAATAAAGATTTCATCTTATTAACACTAAAATTAAGCAGACCTTTTCATCTCATCAAGACAGCAATTAGTTCTTATAACTAACAATATACATCTTATCATTATTTATATTAGTTTTTTTTTCTTTATCGTTGTGAACACTCGAAAAACGACATTACTTCTGTCTCTTTGTACTGTATTTAGAAACAAAAATATAAAGAAAACAATATAATATAAAAAGTAAGAGATTGTATGTTTTTATTTAAAAGCAGAAGTGTAGAATCTTCCTGAAAAAAATTTTTTTTCTCCAATGTTCGTTCATGCATACGGACAGAATGTCTCCATCATTGATTATAAGCCTTCTTGATAACATTGAAAATTCTGCTCTAGTTTCTTGTGTTAATGAGAAAGAAATGTCTGTTGTTTTTAATTTATTTAACTTATTAATGTTAATATTAATCTGTCAAAAGTGAACTGAAAAAGAAAAACATCCGAAATATGAAAAAAATTATAATGACTAGACGAAATAACTATGAACTTTTATACGTCTTATATTGTACAATTATAAAATCTTTAGGATAATCATTAGTTATAATACAATGCTAGAGATCAATGGAATTGACCTATAATGATCGAAAGTCAATTTAGATGAACAAAATTCTAGTTAAGTATTGTATATTTATTTCTTTTCATATATAATACGATATCATTGTCGGAGTTGAAAACTTTCACTTGAAATTTTAATATTTTTGACATAAAAGTCATTTTACGTTTTTGAAAAAGAATCAAAAATCTATCAAGCATTGATAAGTAGAAAAAAGTTTGTATCCGTATATTCTATCTTTTTTTTCTATATATTGAATTCATAGTGTTAAAATAATTTTGTACAGTACTTACTGTTTCAAAATACTGACTTGATTCAACTGTAAGATGAGTTAATGTATTGGCATGTTGTTGTGCAAATTTGAAAACATCAACGAAGTCTTGTACACCTTTCAGTTTCAAAGTTCTCAAATTTGGTAAATAAGGCCAAGTTCTTAGTTGAAGAGATGATCCATAACAGTCAATAACAAGTGATTGTATTTCATTTAATCGAAGTAAAGATAAAAATGTTTGAAATTGACAATAGCGAGTAGATGATAAATTAACATGACGATAAAAACCTCGTTCAATTAATAATTTTGTCAGATGAATATTGAGATTACTGAAAGACCACAAAACATCAATACAAGATAGATAAGAAAGTATTTCAATCAATGCTAGATCAGGCAAATTATCGAAGCGACTTAACATTGTTATCAATTCTACGAATACGACAAATAAAAAGTTCATTTTCTTTTTGTCACCACTCATATAATATTCCATCGTCGACGTCCGTTTTGTTATTTTTCTCTTCATTATGTTTTACAACCGGCAGTGATATTAGTTCAATATGTTCATTTATTGAACGAAAAAAGAAAAAAAAACATCAATGATCGGCTATTGTGTCTATATGAACATCATATATGGATAATGAATTACAGAATGATTTTAACGTATTGAATAACCAATGAAACACAGTCAGCTTCAGAACTCTGAACTTTATTTTTGGAAAAACAGTGTGATTTAGTTCACTTCGAAAATATTTCTCCTTGACAATAATAAACTATTTCTCAATTAATATATATACGTATATGTTAAGAAAAAATGCTTGAAAAAATAATATTCATAGGTATAAACATGCTTCATAAATTACTCGGAGATGTTTATAGAAGTTTGTTAAAATTCCTTATCTATGTCTCAGAAATACCATTTGTGAATCTTAATTTTAACATTTAAATTCACTAATGAGTAACATTGTCCAAATTTTACAAGCCATCTTTCGAATGAATGTGAAATCGTAGTATTATATATACGCCCAGAAAAAAAAATAGTTTGAGTCGGTGTTTCGAACATATTGTCATCATAGAAACATTTTTTTTAAACTAATTACATGTTATGAAAGCGTGCGAAGTTTTCTATCACCCTATATCTTTGTGTTTTAGTAAAACCATAAGTTAAAATTCTTTTCATAGTTGTTTTCAAAAAAATAGAATAATAAAAATCAACTTACAATAGGATATCAATATGTGAGGAAAATATAAAGAAATTATCTGGTTTGAGTACTTATCGAAGTCCAAGAGAAACCTTTATCTAATAGTAAATCCCGTCTATCGGATTACACTTTATGTTGATTATTTACACTCGCTTATATAGGGGAAAAAAACATTACCTAAAACATGTGAAATCAAGAAAAGTGCAATGCTTTGATATTCATTTATCTAAAATCATTTATGATAAAGACAATTGTCTGCTATGGATACTATTTGTAATCCTTAATGATTTTGAGGATACCAGTGAATAATTTTAAAAGAAGAACGTTATTTTTTAAATTCTCAAAATGAACAAAACAATTAATAAACTTCATATTTAGTCAAATCTTTCGTTCTGACAAATCATCCAGTGATTTACTCGAAACTGATAGGTATCAAATATTTTTCTATTTTATTATCAAAAAATTTTTATTCGTTTTCTTTTTATTTCTTCTTCAAAGTGTACGTTTTCTCGAAAGTCGTGCTGATTCGACTGCTAAACTATTTAATGCTTGTATCGACATTCTATTCGATGAACAAGGTAGTTTACTTGAAATAATTCGTATGACATTAGTTCAATTTATTCGTGTGACATATGGAAGCAAAATAAATCGACAAGTACATCGTTATATTGTTATTTTATTTCAAGAAGAATGTGTAGTCAAATATTTAATTATATTACGAGATACATTTTGGCCAAAGACTCTACCTGTTGAAAGACAAACACGTGCAGATGACGAGAACGAAGAGAACAAACTAAACAATAGTTATTATCCAATATACTAGATTTTGCTATTTGGAGAAAATTTTGATAGAAAAAAAGATATTTATTTTGTTCGTAATTTTTTTCGTCTAGAAATTGTTTCGTTGATATTCTGTTCGGATAATGCAAGATTAGATGCAAAATGTTTATTCGAAATTTTTCAAGATGCTTGACTAAATAAACATCTTTGCTATTTAAGAAATAAAATGAAGAGTTTATTATTGTTCTATTTGATAGTGGGTTTTGTTTTTCGAAATTAATAATGCTGTTTATCACTAAAATATTTCCGGAATTACAGATGAAATTATAATTGTATTTTTCTTTTGATATTTAAAGTGTAATTGAGATTATTAATTTGAATAAAATAAAAATCTTTTTTTTCTTCTATCGAACAATAAAAATTGAAGTATGTTATGCTGCTTAGGTTAACCTTATGCTCGCGATGGCATAGAATACTCGTCTTGTCAAATAGCGTCAATAGAACGATCCTATGCATTTCATTTTATGCCGAATAATTTGATCAGTTTAGTGACCATTGTAAGAAATAAGATAGTTGAATGATTTGAAAACTTGTACTTTTCCCTTCTACAAAAGAAGAAGATATGTATAGATATTTTTAACGACATTTATAGTTTAGACATAAAAAACCTCTTTAGTCTCTAGTTAGCTATATAATGAATGTATGTATTTTATTGGCAATAAATATTGCTTTCGATTTCTAATATGATAAGATTTATAAAAAAGAAAAAAAACATGCATGATGTATGTCATATTTCATTTGATCATTCAAGGCTGATTGTAAGACGTAGCCAATGGTATATGATCTCTTGTGTTCGAATCTGTCAATCATTTCTAATGCTAGAAAACAAGAACATTAAATGATGACTAGTATTATAAATTATTTTACTTTGTATTGGGATTAAGTTTGTTTATTTTTTTTTAGTGTATTCAATGCTGCATTCATCGTATTTGACGAAGTTTTCTTTCTGAATATGAATTGTATTGATTTTTTTCACGTTTATGCCACAATCTATGCAGCAGAATTAGAATACAGAAATATGTTGAAGTTAAATATTGATGAATAGTAAGCATTTACTGCTATTTTTTTATTAGTAAGAGCATAATGATCAGATCGGATGAATTTAGAACATATATCGCAGCTGTCACCTAATAGAAGTTTTATTAAAGCACCATCTAGAATAAAAGTATTTAAGCATAACTATCTGTTATTATTTTCGATTACCTTTATCAGACAAATTTAAACGTGTTTCAAATTCATCAAATTGATCGGAACATCGTTTACACATATGTCGACGAGTACCACCCATTTGAAATTTTGTATTATACGTGATACAATTGGATTCACTCATATTTAAATATTGTGTACGGAGAAACTAAAAATAACCGTACCAAGTATGTTTCTTTGAATTTGAACAAAATATAAGCAGTAACAATAATATATATATATAAGAATGTATATAACAAAGGATAGAAGACGAATGGACAAGAACACGATATCGACTAAGAGAACGAAAGAAATAGATATGTATGCAATAGCAATAGTAGAATAAGAAATTCATTAGTTAATTGAATTTTTGATTGACCTTAGCTCCATCTTTAGAAATCTTTGTTTGGAATGCTGATACTTGAGATAGAAATTTTACTAGACATTTTCAATAAAAAGCTATGGTCAGGTGGAAAAATCAATCTTCGACTTCAAAGTTCACAGGTCCAAAGTTCTCAACAAGATTAGCTAATTGTACAAGCTTCAGCTCGACTATTATATCTTTTCTGAAGATACAAATTTTGCTTTTTCACATGAGAGAATTTCAAATATTTAACATATGAGGATATGAGATACTAGAAAAGCTAAAACTTGCACTATGAACTAATCTCATTAAGAACTTTGTTCATGCAAAGTTTGAAGCCAATTTTCTACATGGTCATAACTTTTTGTTTAAAAAGTCGAGTAAAATTTCAATACATCGAAGACGAAGATTTGGAAAATCAAAGCATTCTAGACTTTTCCATTACTGATCAGATGAACATCGCCTCGATAGAAAAGCGATTTCATACATGGAGGTTTCCTCGTCAGTTTATGAACAGTTTGTTCGCATGACATTAAACTATTATGATAGTTTCTAATGAGTTTGGTCATATGCTTCGATTGAAAGTAGTTGTGTATTGTGAGAAAAAAGAAAGTACATTTTAATTTCAAGATGATGAAAATTATCATAAATAATTTCGCAATATTGAGAAAAGCACGAATAATATTATCAAAAATACTTGCACTATTTTAAAAGTTTTTCATAATATATATAATCAAACTGAGCTAGAAATGTTTGAAAATAAGTTTTTGGTTCTGATCTAAAGGAACCTATTTGAGAATTAATTTGAGGGTTATCTCTCTTCAATCAAATTCTAATTTGTAAGATAATTCGTTTAAAACCATAGAATATTTAACTCTCATCTTTTGTTTCGATTGAAACAAATTTTTATCTTGTAGTTGTGCGTTTTCTATCTCTAACTTCTTTTCTTCGTGGTCTCAGGTTAAATTTGGTCTCGCACATGTCTAACATTTTCTAGCATCTTCATATAAAACTGTTATAAAGATTAAAAAAAGAGTTTGTCTTAAAATCTGAATAAAAAAGACTCGTTTAATTACTTTCAGAATTATTCTCATTTTTATCTAATTGAAAATCAAATGCGTCAAGAATACTTGATATTGTTTTTGTTAAATATCGTTTTTGTTTTAAATCTAATGTACGCTTCATTGATGTTAATTCACGAAAATAAAAATAAATACTTGATTATATTTTATCCAAAGTAATTGTTGAGATAATGCTGTTACATACGCGAATACAATTTCATCATTAATATCTTGTTTATCACCATTAATAATATGATTTATAAACGAACAAAGAATTAGTAAAAAAATAATTATTGTTGCTAAATGAAATGTTTGTTCATCATGTACTAATTGAAAACGTTTTAATGCTCGTAAACTTCGATGGTTTCTTAACATGAATTATATTAAGAAAAAAATCAATTTCAATATCATTATAATTCCCTAAGCGTCTTAAATAATTGAAATTTTCATCATCTATATTAATATCAATAATTAATCATAAAAGACAAATAAGTTCATGTCGTATATGAATTGATATTTCTGATTGTTTTAATATTAAACGAATTTCACTTAAAATATGATTAATATAATGGAATTTGTTTAAGAAACAAATTTATACATTGTAATACATATTCACGTGATGATAAATCATTTATTGAATAATGAAATTCATATAAACAATGATAAAATAAATATAAATATTCATTTTTATTTTTGTAATGATGAAATTTCGTTTCTTATTTATTCATAACCATTTAGACGATGTTCATAATCAGGTTCATGAATTTGATGAAGATTCCAAGAATTTATTTTAATAAATTGCTTCTCATATCAAATTGCACTAGAAAAAAATATACATGCTAGTGCAATTCCTTTGGAGAAACCAAATGTGTTCTTTAGTCTAATTCTACTAATGTAAAATACGTCAAGTGAAAAATCTTTAGTAAATTATAGTTATTTTCCAAGGATAATCGATCGTCACCGGAAACGATCTGTCTTATTTATTTCTGCATCTCTTTCGTGTCTTTTGTTACTAACGTTTCAATTTTTCTCTACCTTGCTACAATTTGCTCGTTATTTTTCCTTAATTTAATATTATTATTATAACCATTGATTTCACTGATAAACAAAAACCTGTTGTACATATTCATTATGTCTACATGTTGTCTGAACACACTTATATATTAAAGTATTGTAACTCACGGATCGTAAAGCGATGACCAGTGTGAAAAGTGACGATTTATGAAGATAGAAAACTTGTTTTTAACAGTAGAATTCATAACAAATTTGAAAATACGTGTTTTTAATGCTGCTGTACAACAGCGATATCCTTGATCATACCTGGGTCGAAAATCTACGATCGTATACGGCCATAAACTACAAAATACGGCAAATAATGACCGTCGCACACGGCATCGTAAACGACAAGTGTATACGGTACAGTACGACCTTGTACGGTGTTCATTTACGGTCCTCACACATGTTATTTGTAAACGACGACCGTATACGATCATACTTTTGTCGTTCATTTCTATTACAAGAGAAATTACGATAATCAAAGACACAAGCTAAAGAGAACTTTGTCGTGATCTATGGTTTTTTTTTGTAGTTTTATCGAGGGCATGATATCATTTAGCACCTGGTCTCTTACTGTGAATGTTTTATAACTTTTTGTCTTTATATTGATCTCTATCGCTGGAAATGGAATTCTAACAATAACATATACATTTGAAGCACATTTTGAATTCTTTACCTTTCAAATAACAATACAATTCAATAATAATCTGAGTCCGGTACATTAAATATATTTTCTTAAGATAATTTTATCGAACAATTTACTGGTAAAATTAAAGAAATTTTCAAAAGTTTTGTTTTTAGGAATAACTTTCTCAATCAATTTATGGGCAAGATTAATTCAATCTTTAAATAATTTCTTTTTCTTTGGGAATACATCATGTGATTTTAATTTGATAAAAATCGGTAGTTTTTCTTGAAAATGTTGCATCAATTTATATTTCATTACACTATATTATTTAGAATATTCACAAATATATTCCAATTTCGAGGAAGGCTTCGAATCCGAAATATTCTAGAATAGTCTAAGCTCTGTTGTGAATCTTATTCAGCAGTTTTTTTCCATTATTGAGGAATTCTGGCAAAGGATTCGAACTTTTGTTGTTCTCAACTGCTATGTAAACGTATCCAATCATTTTTTACTCGTCGCGGTTGAAGCTGCGAAACCTCGACTTACAAGTTACATTCATTATATTTTTCTTTGAACAACTTAATATGAAGTTTTTTTTTCCTCGATTGGAGTTTTTTTTTTGATTCATCAATATGTGGAACAATTAATGGATTGTCAGCTAAACAAAAAAGAAAAGATCAGTATAAAGAAGATGTTGCAATAAGGCCGATTTTTTGCCAATGATATTTTGCACCCGGAAGTGTATCAATGGCTTGTTAGGAATACTTCCTGGTATTTAGTTTTGCTTTATGTCGACATGACTTTTTGACCCCTTTGATCCATCCGGAACTTTTAATAAGCTTTTTTCCCCTCAAATTACTTGAGAATTATATTCACTAGATACGATTTTTCATGCTGATCACGAGTATCATATTTAAAAACTATAACAAATCGGCTTTTAACAGAGAAAAATACACACTACTTATAAATTTATCACAGAATAGTTTCCATTTCACTGCTGTTTTGCATATTAGAAATATAGTTAAACATTAGATTTATTTTCTAAAATATAAAATTTTTGAGTATATCTATTTGGTATATGCATTCCAAGTAAAATCAATTCTAGCAAACTTATACTTGTTTGGAATTTCGAAAAATAATGTAGAAATGTTTTTAAAAACCACTTTTTCGACTTTTTAATAGACTTTATACTAGTCAAAGATGGTCTGGCGTCAAGAACCCATATACATAGTCCGACGCAATTTTTCTTGCTTTAGTTAAATATGACTTTAAATCCGCAAAACAGATGTACATACGATTTCAAGAGACTAAGAAAATCAACTGCGAACTCTTCAAGAGCTTAGACTTCTTGGCAACGTCATCACATTCAGTATATCTTGAAGCCTAATCCTACAAATTTCGATAGTTTGTACTCGACTCTATCATGCAATATACTTGTTGCTTAAACAAAGAAAAATTGGCTATCTTGTCTGAATGTCTCTTGTCGTGATTGAGTTAAGGCTATGAACAATTGTTGCAGTTGGTTTATAAGATATGTTGAATATGATGGCGTTGACGAACAACCTCACATCTCTAAGATTCTAGAGTTGATTTTCTATAGGCTCTCTCGAAATCTGATGTACATATTTTTTCATGAATTTGAGCTCATATTCAGATAAAACATTAAAAAATTTTGTTGAATTGTTTATATAAATTCGTGGCAATAATATACCTTCCAGCAGCTTAAAGTTCGATAAAAAGGCAAAAAGTCCGTTTATAAAAATACATCTACAGCTTTGTTACGAAATTCCAAGGAAGTATATATTCAATTTTTAGAGCTGATTTCATTTGGAATGAATAGAAAAGGTATTTGTAGCCAAGTGCTTTATATTTCAGACAATAAAACTAATGTTTAAATATATCTCTTATATGCAAAGAAAAGTTGTGAGGTGAAAAATAGAGTCGTGGATGGTAAGGTAGGGTAACCGTGATACAAATGTTTAACATAGAATTGGATTTTTGTTCATATTGCTAAGAGTTTTTCGGCGAGCAACTTCGAAGGCACTCCTGATATCTTTCTGGTTTAGTAGAAGTCGGCATTTATGTTAAAGCAAAATAAAGTTTTGCTAAACAAGAATCTGTATTGAACTAGTAGTGCAAACGTTTATTGAATTATCCACAACTTAGCGTTTTGAAAAAAATTTATTGAGAGTTCCAGATTTTTTAGTCACTAGTGAACTTATTTTCAATACAAGTGGAAGAGAAGACAAAAGTTAACCAGCAATGCATTGTTAATAATATTTTATTTTTACGAAATCTTCGAAATATATGTGAATTTTTTTTTATCGTTGAAAATCAATAAAATATGCTGAAATACGGTGAAAAAACTTCATGTTGAAATCTTCCAAAATATGGAAATCTAAGATTACGATATAGGGTACAGGATACAAAATCTATAGAGTAGGGTAGCGTAAGGGTACAAAAATCCTACTCTGCAAGACTCTAATGAAAACTAATTCGGTGATTAATTTATTATTAGTATACATTTTTCTCTTTTGAAACTCTATTGTTGTCCATTTTAAATATGATATTCGTGATCAGCGTAAAACATCGCGTCTAGTGAATATAATCTTACAATAATTTGAGAAAGAAAAGTTTTGTTTTGGAACTGTTGGATGGGAAGGGAAGCCTCGCAGCTCAAAAAGTCAAGCTGAGAGATAGACCAAAGTTAACTGTAAGAAAGTACTTCTAACAACCTTCTGATCGACTTTCGATAAAAAAAAACCCACTTTAATGTAACATCTCTTTTAATAGAAAACCACATAGGGTCAATTTGCATACTATTCCAAATAAATTTAATACTCAATTGTTTGTTTCCATTTGTAATATATTCATTTAAAAATTGATTAAAACATATCATCAAATCTTTTGGATCATTTCTATGATTAAGAATTGAATATCTTAAATATGATGTTCTACTCAAAATTATTGCTAATTTTAATATATGAAAAGTATCTTCATGTTGTTTGTTTTTAACTAATAAATCATCTAAATAAGTTTCTCTTATACATCATAGCATTAAATCATCAATGAATTCTTTTCAAATATTTTTTATTATTATCAGATGATTGAAATATTGTTTGTAAACCTTTATAAGACATTGGATGAATACGCTTTAATAGAAATCGAATTTTTTTATTTCAAAATTATCTTCATGAAAACAATTTCGTTTATTTAAATAATGAACAAATTATATAATTAATATATAAAATTTAATAGTATAATAAATTTATTTTTGTATAAACACATAATTTATAAGTAAATATTTTTGATAATAATAATGAATGTTGAATATATTTAATAAATATTTCATAGAAATTTAAGTTAAACTCTTGATTATTCGATAATATTTTCTGATGAAATAAAGGACGAGGGACGGTTTGTACACAAAATGGCCCTAAAAAAAAACCGCTTCGAAAAACTTTTCCATCTTCATTTTCACACTTCCCACTATGAGTACTAACTGTTATCAACTCATCCAGAGCATTTCCTGCCACCACTTTTTTGCATATCCGACCAGCTGCGATTCAGGCCTGGCTATGGTCGACTTCTGCCAGGAATCGTGTAGTGATGCTGATCTGATCCCAACCATAATCGATTGGTAAGAGCGTCATTTTTTTCTGTGCAGATAGAGCTTTTAGAGACCTACAAA